GAGCCCCAGATGGCCCAAGAGGCCCCAGGACAGGCCCAAGCTGGGCCACAGAGCGGGAGCGGGAGGCCCCAGGGATTTCGAAGACGGCCCAGATGGCCCAGGCCTCCCTCCTCCGTCCCCTTGCCGCCATTCCCTCCTCTCCTCTTCCTCCCCTCACCCCGCAGCTCTCGTGCTCCTCCCTCCTCTCCTGGGACGGCCCCGCCAGAGCGCCACACAGGCCCCGCCAGAGCGAGCGGGGCATGGCTATACCCTATCATTTCACAAGTTGCTTTGCGCTTCCCACCCCTCAAGGGCGGCCCCGGCAGAGCGGGAGGGGTGTTGCTATACCATATGCAGTCTTTTTTTTTGCTTGCTCCTCCACCCGCGCCCGAGGTAGCCCCGTCAAAGCGCACGAGGTGTGGCTATACCATAATGTTCCCCAGGTTTCGTGCTCCTCCCTCCCCTCCTGGGCAAGCCCCGCCAAAACGCCAGGGACCCCCCCGCCACAGAGAACAGGACCCCGTACACTATACTATGTCACGCGATTCTTGCTCCTCCCACCCTTTCAGGGCGGACCCGCCCCAGCGAGCGGGGTGTAGTTTCTCAGGTTTCGTGCTCTCCCACCTCCTGAGAGGCTTCGCCAGAGCGCCAAGAAGGTACTGCCAGAGGCCCCGTCTGAGCTCCAGGCAGCCCCATACACATGGGACTTCCCAGGCAAATCATTGAGCATCCCCCGTGAGCCCGAACCTTCTGATCCCACGGCTGCGTTTATCGTTGGCATGAGTTCTGGCGCCAAGCACAAAGAAAGTTTCCCACTCCCGTGGACGGGCACGACAACAATTGATTGCAGACGAGGGCATTGATGACCAGGACATTTGCGTGCGCCCTCTGCAGATACCCAACAGCTGAACGACCGGTGAAAACGAGAAGCCTGAAGCACATGAAAAATGGAAAAAACAACGCGCTGCCACGCGCGCGCAAGGAGGTCCCGAGCCAACCCCAGCATCAGGAGCTGGCGGATGTCTGCGTGATCGGGGATGGGGAGACCGAGCAGATCTGCAAAAACATTGAGTGTCACGACGGGGCAGAAGGGAAATGTGAAAGTTCAAGAAAAAAGCGCAGTTCGATAAACCAAGCCAATGCGTCAGCGAGATTGTGAGATGCGCGGGCACGTGGCGCCCCGCGTTTTGACTAGTCGTTTCTTCGCGTCAGTAGCATGGGCCCGAGGACGCTGGAAATCGTCGTTGTGGCCACAGCGCTGCTTACAGCGGCACCTGTGGCTCAATTGCGACTAAAACCTGAGCGCGCGCGCGCGTAATTTTGGTGTATTTAGTATTTATAAGGCGGTTCAGGGACCGATTTTGCGTGAATGCATGTTTCCCCACGTCCTAAGCGGGGCTATTATTGTCTTTGGGCACTTCCCGCAGGAACGGGAACACCCCGTCCCTTTTTTCACTCACGCAATCGCGTATTCATATCACCCATATCCTCATCATCGCCGCATCATGATCAGTTACACACTCGCTCACACGTTCACACTCTCATTCTCCAACTCGCTCAATCACTCACACATACTACGCACCACCCATCATCATCATCATCATCATCATCATCATCATCATCATCATCATCATCATCATCATCACCCTCCTCATCCTCATCATCATCATCACAACAACATCGTACATATAGCTTCGTGTGTGAGTGACTTGCGAGGAAGTCTCGGGCGGGAGCCCTCTGCCTATGGGGGTTGCGCCCGTGTGCTGTTGTTTTTTTTGTTTTTAGCCGAGCGGGTTTTCGGAACTTTGTAACTGTCGTCGCTTTTGGACTCCTGAAGCCTAACCGTCATCCTTCGGTGCTTTACCCGGGAGATGTTGCCATCCATGCTGTGTGGAAGGTCCTGAACGCTTCAGACTTGTATAAGAATAACCATACACAAAGATAGAATTTCTGCGCCGCTGGGAAATTCCAACGCCGATGCAAGCTTCTGTTTCTTCAGAGTTTTCTTCTTCGATCATGGGCATCCCACATGGGGTTTTCGCTGATGGGGCCGGGGGATCGCAACGAATCGCCGACACATCGCCGATGCACGCGCGATGCATGGGCGATGCGCGCGCGATGTAAAGCAGGATGAGTTCAAACAGGGCGAATTCAAACCGGATGAACTTCATTTGGACGAATTAACCAGATGATTTTTAACCCGGACGAAATAAAACAGGATGAATCTAAACCGGGCGAATTAAACCGGATGACCTCAAACAGAGGAAAACAACACCGGATTAATTTTAAACCGGAGGAGGTAAAATTGGATGAATTCAGACCCGGGTGAATTTAAACCGGATGGAGTTAAACCATATGAATTTAAGCGGATGAAATTTAACGGATGATTTTACACGGATGCAATTAAACGGTAAACAGTTGATGTTATCGAATTCAGATGCAATTGTGGTGAATTAGCCCTTTTCGGTGCCGCCCCCTTCGGTGCCCCCCCCGCCTCGCCCCAGGACGTCTGTGTTTTGAGAACCGTGTGCGGCCGGAGGGGAGTTTGAGAGGCGAGGGGGGCGCGTCATACCAAGGGACGGTTTGCTGGGGGGTCGTTTCGGCCGCGCCCGGCCTTGTACGGTCGAGGCGGATACGTGAGCTGTGCCAAGTCCAGGTTGTCCCTCTCGTGCTCGCAGGTTTGCGGCCCATGCATCTTTCGGGCCGAACGAAAGTGGGGGATACGGAAAGGGGGGTTGCGAAATCTGCTGCACGCAGCGGGTCTCAGTCCCACCGAGGGGGCCCATTCCTCGATACATGGCCGCCTGTGGCGCCGGGAGGCGCTGGGAAAATCAGCTACGCGAGTTGATTGTCAAACCCCCCGTTTTGTTATCCCCCCCCCTTCTCGCCCAGCCCATGCATCCTGCATTCCTCTGGCAGCGTGGCCCCGCGGGAGGGGTCGCGTGCCCTCTCCGCGTGCCCTCTCCGATCGACCTCGGCTGCAGAGAGGGGGGGGGGCCCTCGGGCCTTCGCGCGTGCAGGGGCAGGATGCTGCGGGAGTGGGAGGTCCGGCGATCGCAGGCATAGATCCGGGGGACGTGGGATTAACGACGGGTCCCGCTTCCACGGGGGAAGCGCGGGTTTCCGCCGCCGAAGGAGGCGACGCCGGCCGCTTTGGGGGGAGGGCACCTCCCTCGATCCATGGGTTTGGCGACCGCGCGCCGAGTCCATGGACCCCTAATCCGTGTCTGCGCGCCCCCGAGGAGCGACGTGGGTTGAGGTGTGGCGGGGGGGGAGGGCGGGGGGAAGGGGGGCGAGAGGGGGCGGCCCTCCTGGTGTGTGTGTGTGTATGTGTGTGTGTTTTTGTGTGTGTGTGCTCCCTTCGGCCCCCCCTGCCTCTTCCTCCTCCTCCTCCTCCTCCTCCGCCTCCTTCTCCGCATCCTCCTGCTTCTCCTCCTCCTCCGCCTCCTCCTCCGCCTCCTCCGCCTCCTCCTCCTCCTCCGCCTATCTCAGTCGCCAGCTTGGCTGTTGTAAGGGCAAGAACAGGTGAGTGAGCACCCTCGCCCGCGGCCGCGCTCCCGTGCGGGACCCACTGAGGTCGTTCAGCCTGCTGCCTGCCCATCCTACCCCTCCTGACGGAGGCTCTTTTCCGCCTGTGCCCCACTGCTCTCAGCGGCCCCTAGAGCCCCTCCCTATGCCAATCGTGGGCCTTCTGGGGAACGGCGCTTGCGCCTCCTCAGATAGCATACGCAGCAGGTAGAGTAGTTGGGGGTCTCAGGGACTGGTCCCCTGTGATTCCCAGTTGGGAGTCAGGCAGCAGCATGGTTGCCGCAAGGCGAAATGACTACAGGGGATCAAGCAATGATTCGAACACCCCAGCCCGAGCCAGAAACGTGTTTTAAACATTCACATGCGGTCTTGATGGGCTTGATAACTGAAAATGAACTGAACTTTTCCTCCTCCTCTTCCCCTTCAACCGCCGTTCTGGTACAAGCTTTCTTGCCAGGCGTTGTTGGGCTGGACCAATTTGGTTGTGCTACTTTGAGGGCCTCTTTCTCCAGATGTCAACGCAGGGGATTGTTTCTCCCTCCCTCGTAGTGCTATCTCTTGCTCGACGCAATTGTAGGAATTCCTTGTTTGTTTACGTGCCGATCGTGCGGTTGCAAGCGCAACAGGGCATCCTGGGTCTGGTGCAAGCCGGTCGCGCTGCGCATCGCGAGGCCAGTCGCGCTGCGTATCGCTTGGGAAGTGTCTGGCGTGCTGCGCCCTCCTCCTTGATGACCCTCTGATCCTCATGCAGTGGAGGTGCCCTCGGGTTTCTGAAGTTCTGCTGTTTCTGGATCTCGGACGCGCGTTCAGTGGTTGAGTCTTCCCATCCCCGTCCGCGGCCGCCTTGCACGCTGGCCAATTCGTTTTTCGGCGCCCCCGTCTAGCTCTTTCACTGGTGCAGCCAACTCTGCCTTGCCGCCGACGAAAAGAGTTCTCCTCCCTGATGACCCTCTGATCCTCATGCAGTGGAGGTGCCCTCGGGTTTCTGATGTGCTGCTGTTTCTGGATCTCGGGCGCGCGCTCAGTGGTTCGAGTCTTCCCATCCCCCTCCGCGGCCGCCTTGCACGCTGGCCAATTCGTTTTTCGGCGCCCCCGTCTAGCTCTTTCGCTGGTGCAGCCAACTCTGCCTCGCCGCCGACGAAAAGGAGTTCAGTGATTGAGGCGGGGGTCGCTCCGCAGATTGGTCGCGCGCTTCATTACAATCAGTGCCACACGGGCGGTGCATCGTGACACGTGGAGTATGGCTTGGCGGATTGTTGCTGGCGGACGCGCTCCTTGTCATCATGCATCACACATACTCCTAGTCATAATAGTAGAACAATGCGTCTTGCGTGATGGTGCATGTACGTCATGATGTTGTGTCATGTTGTGGCGAATGTGGGCCCTTTCGCTCGATGCGATCATCACCAGGGGGTGCGTGTGAGGATCGGCATGTTCGACAAGTTTTAGCAATGCGCTTTCATCTTGAACATGCCATGCATTGTTTTGCCAAGGTGCCGCCCCCTTGGCTGGACGACAGCGCCGCCGGAAAGGGAGGCAAGGCGGGCGGAAAAGGCCGGTGCGCATGCTATCGTTAGTCGAGTCATGCATTTCATGTCGGACATGCGTGCCACGCGCAATGACCATCCAGAAGTGCGATCGTTTGTTGCGGCTTGTCCGCCACCTCCATCCATCCATCATCCTCTTCGGATGCAGCTCCTGGCATGGGAGGTCACATTCCGGCTCAATACTGCTTAAATCGGCTCAACCTGGCTTAATCCCGCTTAATCCGCGGCCTGATCTGGCGTAGCAGCCCCCCAATGGGGATCAATTCTCTTACATCCTTCCGACTTAGATCTCCCAGCAGTTGCCTCCTGTCCTCTCTCCCCTTTCCTCCGCATTCCAGGGCAGCTTTCGGACAGCCAGGCGAGTGCAGCGAGCTGCGCAGCAGGCGCAGCAGGGTGCCACACAGACCGTGATGCTCCTTGCCCTGTCGCCCAGCCTCTCCCTCGCTCGCTCGCCACCTCCCTGCTCCCTCTCTCCCCCCCTGCGTCCTCCCCCATCACCTCCGTCCCCCTGCCTCTCCCTCCTCCTTCGCGCTGCCCCCCCCCCCTCACGGGCAAGGCCAGGACCGCCGGCCGAGCTCCGCGCACGACGCTCGAGGGTGCCCGCGGTTCGGCCGGCCCTGGCTGCGTCGCAGTCGGTTCCGCGGCGCTGCCTTCGCGCCCGGTCGCGGTCGGCTCGGTCACTTGCTGTGGCGCTGCCTGCGCCGTGGCTCAGCCACGCGCGGAAGGGGGTGGGGGGAGGGGGGAGGGCTTCTTAGAAGCACCCCTGCTTCTTAGAAGGCGCTGGCCTCATCTATAGATGTAAGGCCGGCGCCTTCTCAGAAGCAGCCTCCTTCTAAGAAGCCCTCCCCCTTCCTCCACCCCCTTGTGCGCGCGGGATAACTCGAAATCTCTGAGAATCGGCGGGTTTGGAGGATGTATTGGGCGCCGCGGCCGCTCCAGAGCGTTCCAGAACGCTCTGAGAGCGCTCCGGAACGCTCTGGAGCGATTTATACCGATCCTAGCCCTGTTTTACTGGCGCCCTTTTTTGGGGAGGCGTGCGGCCGGTCTGCTTCGATCGGCTGCGGCCGTGTTCGCTGTCGGCTCGGCCGGCTGTCGACGCAGAGTGGCGCCGCCGCGGGCGGCCGCGCTGCCGCGGGCGGGGGGGCCCTGGTGTGCCCGCGCAGGAATCAGGAGGGGAAAAAACACACAGACACAATTAAACGTCGATTCCCAGAAAAATATTCGAAAGTATGGGAGGTGGGGGGGAAGACAGAAACCCAGAAAATAGGGGAAAATATGGGGAATCCTGTTATTTGTGTGTCTTTATTTGTGTGTCCCAGGGCCCCTTCAAGGAAGGGGGAGCGCAGTGGGGGTGGTCGTCCAGTGGAGCGCAGGAGCTCTCAACTCAGCCGGCGGCGGCGGCGCAGGAGGGGGTTGGGCGCCGCGTAATGGGGGGGTCATAAATGGGGGGGCGGCGAGTGTGGTCCGAAAAGGTACCCAAATGGTACCTAAACGAGCCCCCTGGGGCTCTGGAGGGGCCCGAAAGGGGCACGAAAGGGGACCTTTTCTGACCCCCCCATTTGTGACCCCCCCATTAAGCCACGCCCAAGGGGGGGGAGAGGTCGGGCGGGGTGACGGGACGAGGATGCATCCGTGCCTGAGCGTTCCGGAACGGTCTCAGAGCGCTCCGGAACGTTATGAGCAGGCCGCGGCGCCCGAGACATCTAACAGAGCCGCCAGTTTTCAGAGATTCTCGATTTATCTTCACCACCCACCAAATCACCCCAGCCCCACCCCAAGGCCCCAATTTGGCCTCCATTCCCAGTGGGGGGGAGGGTCCAGGAACATTCTGAAAAAACACATCTGAAGCCCGTACCTCCCCCAACCTGAAATTCGGGTCTTCGGGTTGGGTTGGGGTGGTCTGGTAGGTGGTTGTCTTGGCTTCGTCTCAGGAAAGGGCCGTGGCTGAGAGCGGACGCCTACAGCGACGGGGCCCTCTCTGCGGCGGTTCCCCGCGAGCACGCGGTCATATCCGAGCGCCAAGGGCCTCGCAGGGCTCCTCCGTAGCAACCGTGGGCTTTCCAGAGTTGGTCGGTATCCGTCCGCCGGGGTCATGCCAGTGGGGTTTGGCAAAGGTTCACCGTCGAAGAAGACAAATGGCACTCAGTCGAACCGAGGTCTGAGATCGAGGTCGGTTCGGGGAGGGTATCCTGATGTTCTTCGTGTTCGTTGGGTGCTATGGTGCATCCTGGGGAGGGTACCCTTGGATGTTCTGTGTGCTTTGGCCGTCGGGGGGCTTGCGTTCCTGAGGGATGTTCTTCTGGCCCAGGTCCGACTGCAGGTCAAGCGGGGAAGAACATAACTTATTCAGACAGGAATGTTCGAGAGACCTGCGCTGGGCCCGCTGGTGGTGTCGCTCTCCGCGCACCAGGAAGGGTGGGGATTAACATCTCCCTATCGCTATGATTGGCATCACCTTTTCTCCATGAATATGTTACCCCTAGGTTCCTGAGGACGCAACCCCAGGAAAGACATCGCCTTTTGGCTGGTCCATCTTCGGGAGGGGGAAAACCAGATAATCACAACGAATCGTCGATTCCCAGAAAAATGCGGAAACATATGAGAGGTGGGGGGAAGACGAACAAGACAAAAATTGTGAATCCAGGGATTTATGTGTGTACTTGTTTGTGTCCCTGGGCCCCTTTCACATCTTAGGTACAGGGATAAGTTCAAGACTGGTCGAGGATAGGCATCGGTCGAACGATCATCACCACCCTTCGACCCCCCCAATCAGGGGCAACGATAGGGGGCGGGGGGGTAGGCATGATTAGGAGGGACGCGCATCGACCCCCAATCGCCCAGTGATCGCCGATGGGTGCCCGATAGCCTCAACCTTCCCAGGAACGTGCGGATTTGCTCCCCGAGGCATCCACCCCCCCTGGTGCCAGTCCCCCCCTATTGTTGCCCCTCGCCCTCCGCCAGCCCCCCCGATCCACCAGCGACGCATCGCCGAGTCCAGGTCGAGACATCCCCCCCCCCTTGGTGCCAGTCCCCCCACTTGTCGTTGCCCCTCGCCCTCCGCAAGCCTCCCCGATCCACTGGCGAGGCATCGCCGAGTCCAGGTCGAGGCGTCCCCCTTCCCTTGGTGCCAGTCTCCCCCTTGTCGTTGCCTCTCGCCCTCCGCCAGCCCCCTCGATCCACTGGGGAGGCATCGCCGAGTCCAGGTCGAGGCGTCCCCCCCCCTGTTCAAGCAGTGGCGAAGCGTCCTGGCTCGCCCACAGACCTACCAAATAATGTTCTAAGCACTTGTTGTGGTTTCCGCGAAATGTTCTTGGAACACTTCTGGCTGGGACCGTCTTGTTTTAACCCACTGGAGCTCGGTTCTGAGAACATCGCGTTTGCTCCAAGTTCACCTCTGGGTTCTGAGAGCATGTCGTGGAGGGCCCACGGGAATGCCGGCACGGGCGGCCCCGACTCGACTACCTCTGCCCCTCGCCCTCCGCCAGCCCCCTCCGCTCGCTCGGCGGCCACCTCCCTCCGCGCCCCAGGCGCGGGGCTCCGGCCCTCCGGGTTCGCGGCGGCGGAGCCAGCGCCGCCGGCGGCGGAGGCCACCGCTCGGAGGGGGCGTAGTGTGAAGTCGGGCAGGTCCCTCTGCAGGAGGAATCATCGGAAATAGTAAAAAAACAGTGGGAGGATGTGTTACTGATTTTGATGTTTTGTTTTTTGTTTGCTTGTATGTTTGAGTAGTTGTAAATTCTTCCGCCCAAAATCCGCCTGCAGGGGGACATGCCCGACCTGGGCGTAAGGGGTTGTGCAGCGAGGGCTGCCGAAAAGGAGCCCCTGAGAGCCTCCAAAAGTCAGGAGGAAAAAAAACACAGACACAATTAATATATGGGAAGTGGGGGGAAGACGAAAACCCAGACAATATGGGAGAATGTGGGGAATCCTTTTATTTGTGTGTGTTTATTTGTGTGTCCCAGGGCCCCTTCAAAAAGGGGCTCTTTCGTGCCCCGAAGGGGGGGGGGCGGGCTGCAGCGCCTGAGAAGGGCACCTGTCTTCCCCTCCGTGCATCGCGCCCCCAGTAACTCTAAGTACTTCGCGCCCAAGCCACCACTCCTCCTCCTCCTCCTCCCCCTCCTCCTCCTCCTCCTCCTCCTCCTCCTCCCTCCTCCTCCTCCTCCTCCTCCTCCTCCTCCTCCTCCTCCTCCTCCTCCTCCTCCTCCTCCTCCCTCCTCCTCCCTCCTCCTCCCTCGTCCTCCTCATCCTCCGCTCTCAGTCTTTTGCAGCCGCCGCGGCCTCCGCCGCGGCCGCTGTCGGCGGCGGTGCCGCCGTCGGCCCACGCTTCCACCGCCGCCCTCGTCGGCGACGGCGTCCAAAGCCGCCGCGTCCGCCGCCACCGTCGGTGGCGCCAGTGCCGCCGTGGTCGTGGTCGTCGTTGCCGCCGTCCTCCCCCGCTGTTGTCGCCCTCCGGGGGCCTCTGCAGGCTTCCGTGCGCGACGGAGGGGGGTGGGGTCGGAGGAATCTGGGAGGGGACGAGAGGTTGCTTGACGCGGAGGCTGGAGGAGGCGAAGGCACCCTCCCCCCGCCGCTGCCCCTGCCTCGTGCTCGCCGTGTTGTGGTCCCGGGGGCTGGCCCCGTCGCCACGGCTGCAGTCGCCTCGAGGGTCTGGCCATAGCACCCCCCGGGGGAGGTCCGGGGAGGACGCGGCGTCGGCACCTGCTCGGCCTCCCCAGCCTGGAGGAGGAGGAGCTTGAAGGCGAGTGGATGGGGGATGGAATTGGGGCGACAGCCTGCTCATCCTCGTCGATCCTCTTCGTGTATCCCCCTCCTACTTGGGTTGCGGGGTCACGGGTTCGGGTTGGGTTGCGGTGTCCGTACCCTTCGGCCTCCCCAGGCTGGAGGAGGAGGAGGAGGAGGTTGGAGGAGATTGGATGAGGGCAGGGCTGGACCTGAACGGTGTTTTGGGCGATTCCGTGGGCCGTTCTCGTTTCGACCTCAGTCTACGGCAAATGCGGATTCGAGACAAAAGCGAGGGAAACCGAACACAACACGAAAACGAAAAACACCGTTTAGGTTCAGCCCTGGATGAGGGATGGACTTGGGGCGACAGCTTGCTCATTCTCGTCGATCTTTTTCGTTTATCCTCCTAATTGGGTTGCGGGGTCACGGATTGCCAGCATGTTATAACACCAGCAACCGTATGTGGTGTTGTCGGAAATTGGGGGAGGTTTGCTACAGGGCAGATTCGAGAGTTGGCCAAGCCCTGTGTCGAGGTCCATCTGACGCCTAAGAGGCGTGAGTACCTTGGCAGGCTGACCAGGGGCTTGAGTCCCAAATCGTAGTGATGTTTGTGACGCTGAGCGCCTGATCCGATTCCGATTGGTTCCCCCAATTCTCCTTGGTCAAACAAAGGGTGTTGACCCTCTAGACTCAGGAGGGGGAAGCACACACAGAAGAAAGTATGGGAAGTGGGGGGCAAACTACAACCCAGAAAAGGGTGTTCACCTCCTAGACAGATCTCTCAACCTCGTTTGCAGTTTCACTCTGGCGAACCGCCCGCTCGTAGACCCAGGAGGGTGGTCAATGATACAGTATATCTTGCTCCGGCATCGCTCGGGCGTGTGCATTTTCTCTTGGCGAGCACCATCGAGGAGTATCTTGGATCATCGAGGAAACAACACGCATGAAACCGAAGAGTGCACAGGGAATGGACGTCCGAGCGATGGCAAGCTGCTCACCTCGTCATCTGAGCGACGCAGAAAGCGGGTTCCTCTGTGCCAGCATTGGCAAGTAAGTTGCCCGCGTACGGTCGCGCGTGGGCGCCGTCGTTGCCAAAGTAGCGTGCCGCGCCAGCGGCCCGCGAAAGCCGCCGATGAAGGTTGCTGCGTCACCCCGCGTTGAACCTGTTTCTGATCGTCACGCATCGTTTCCTCGCATCGTCCTCGTCTCCTCGCGTCATCCTCGTCTTCTGCCTCTTCGCCTCCTCGCGTCGTCCTCCTCGCCTCCTCGCGTCATCCCCGCCTCCCGCCTCCTGCGCCTCCGCCCCTCTCCCGGCGCCCCCGCCACCTGGGCCTCTCCTGCTGTGCTCTTGCGCCTCCTCGCTCCTGCCCCGCGCTCCGTTCGTCCTCCTTCTGCTGCTGCTTCTGGTCCTCCTCCTCCTCCTCCTCCTCCTTCTCCTCCTCCTCCTCCTCTTCTCTTCCTCCGACGGTACCGTTCCTCTTCGTATTTGATGTCATCCTCCGTCTCCTCCTCATCCTCCTCCTCTCCCTCCTTCTCCTCCTCCTCCTCATCCGCGTCCTCATCCTCCTCGCCCTCCTTCTCCTCCTCCTCCTCCTGCTCCCTTCCTCCTCCTCCTCCTCCTCGTCCTCCTCATCGGCCTCGTCCTTCTCCTCCTCCTCCTCTTCCTTCTCCTCCTTTCCTCCCTGTCTTCATCCCCCTGCGCCTCCTCCTCCTCCTCCTCCTCCTCCTCCTCCTGCTCCTCCTCCTCCCTCTCCTCCCTATCTTCATCCCCCTGCGCCTCCTCCTCCTCCTCGTCTTCCTGGTCCTCGGTCGGTTCCTCCCCCGCCCCCCCGCCCGCCCCGCCCCCCCCCGGCCTGAGGCCCCGCCAGCAGACGTGGCCCGGGCGCTCGGCAAGCTAAACCCGGACGGCCCTTTAGGGGGGCAGGGTCGATCGGGCGGCAAGAGCGGGATCCATCGGGGAGGCCCGGAACGATGGGAGACAGTGGTCAAGCGGTGGCGAAGTTCGGAGAAGGAAAAACGCTTGAATCATATTTTGTTGGCGGTTCGCGCGGATTTCTTGGATCCGCGCTGGACCCCCCCCCCCCGGCGGCGCCTCCGGCGCCGCCCCTGGCGCGATTGGTTTCGTCTTCTAGAACCGTCCTGGCTTGCCCATGGGCCCTCCAGAGACTGCTCTGAGAACCTGTCGCGGTCTGCGCGAGGTGACCTTGGAACGCTTCTGGTTGAGGCCACCATGCTTTACCACATCGGCCTTTTATGCTCCCAGAGCATTTGTTGTTCTTAGAGCGTTCATCGGTTCCAAGAATGTCAGGAGGGAGAAAAACACACAGACACAATTAATCGTCGATTCCCTTCGAAAATATAGGAAAATCTGGGAAGTGGGGGGGAAGACAAAAACCCTGAAAATATGGGAAAAGATGGGGACCCTTTTTATTTGTGTATGTGTATTTATTTGTGTGTCCCAGGGCCCCTTCAGAATGGCGTGGTAGGCCCCTAGGAACGCCAGGACGGTCGGCCCCTGCTCCGCAGCAGCTCTTCCTGCTCCTTCTGGACAGGATTCGCTGCCGGCGCCGCCGCGGTCGCTGGCCGTTTTTCGAGGTGCAAGCTTGCCCGGCCACCAGCGGCCGCTGCGTGTTGCACAACATTCAGGAGGGGAAAAACACACAGACGCAATCAAGCGCCGATTCCTAAGAAAATGTAGGAACATATGGGAATTGGGGGGGAAGACAAAAACCCAGAACATATAGGAAACTATGGGGAATCGTTTTATTTGTGTGTATTTATTAGTGTGTCCCAGGGCCCCTTCAAACATGTGTTGTTGGGCATCGTGTCCATTTTCTCCGCATCCATCTCGGGCGTGCCGCATCCAGACGGACACCAGCGGGGGCGATCCACGCGAATGGATCGAGGACTGCAGGACGACTGCCCTGCGTGGGTTTTTTTTGTAGGTGGCCCCTGAGCGCTGCCACCGCGGACCCACACATCGGTGTCCGAGAGGTGTACGCTTCTCTGTTCTGCCGCCCGTCTACAGCCCCCTGGTTGATCCCTAAGGGCTTGCCGACTTTTTGCCAAGCGGCCTGTGGGGATCAAGCCAGATCAATCTCGATATATGCAGATACATCGAGGTACATCCAAGTACATCCAGGTACATCGAGATACATCCGGGTACATTCAGGTAAATCCAGAGATCTCCAGAGAAAATTGGAGCAACTCGCGGCTGCTCCAGCGCGAGTCGAGGGACGGCAGAAGTCGTTAAGTCTTTAACGAGTTAAACATCACCCGAGGGATCCGGCCCAGGGCCAGGCTGCAGCCCTTGAGCGGTCGGAGTCGGAGTCGGCGCTGGCACCCCAGGTCTTCGCCCGACGATCTGTTTTTTGTTGTATCCGTGTGTCATTTGTGGATCTCCACAATAAGGGCCCGCTTCCGGGCCCGGGAGTAATTTCCGAGACATATCGGGTTCGAAACACGAACCCCCAGGGCAGGGGTCTGGGACCTCTTGAGGGGCAACGGTAGGGGGGGTTAGGCGTGGAGGGGGGGGTGCATCGACCCCCAATCGCCCATGGATCGCCGATAGGGGGTCTGATGCCCCGCGCCACCGAGGCAGGTGCGGAATTGCTAGTTAGTTATCGGGGGCCCATCGCCGCTGTACCGGCGATTTGTTGCCGATTCCAGTTATAATGTTCCAACCTACTTTAGCCGTGATCACCAGAAAGAATCTCGAGCACCAAGAAAGCATCCAAGAACCCGGAGGGGTCGGAGGGTCGCGCCGCATCGGCCGTGCGGAGCCCGATGCTCTCTGCCCCGACGTCGCCGATGCATCGGCGATGCGGCGCGATCCTCCGACTCCTACCCTCTGGGCTTCCCAGATTGGGTCCGAGAAGATGGGGTCGGAGCATCGCGCCGTATCGCCGATGCATTGCCGATGCGGCCTGATGCAGAGCCCCATCCTCTCCACGCAGACGGCGCCGATGCATCGCCGACGTCTTCGAATCATTGCCGATGCATCGTCGATGCCTCAGCGATGCGGCGCGATCCTCCGACCCCGTGTTCTCGGACCCCATCTAGGAGGCCGATGTGGCGGCGACCCAAGCGCGGGCGGTCAAGATTCAGCGCCAGTGGCTCGAATTCGGCCGATAGATCGAACGGCCTGCATTTCCGGAAAGCTGCGGTCGTGATCCTCTGACCCTTCCAGGCCCCCGACGTTGTTGTGATCTGTTCTCTCAGCGTGAACCCCCATTAGTTCGTCCCCTTCTCGAGGACCCGTCTGCCATCCCCATGCATTTTGCTGACTGCCCCGGGTCACTAGCCCAAAACATACCCGGACCCGGGGTCAGCTGGGGTGAAAAGGGCCGCCCGCTAGAGCGTTTTCGGCCTTGCCGCCACCTCGTCTGGGTACGGGTCGGTGCCCGAAACAACCATACATACCCGGACCTAGCTGGGGTGGTGGTTGGGTCACCCCGTCTAGGTACGGGTATGTATGGTGGTTTCGGGAGCCGACCCGGACCCAGGGGGGGTGATGCCCCGAGGGCCCCTTGCCACCCCGTCTGGGTAAGGGTACGGGTATCTTTCGCGCTCGAGACCGGGGGCCGAGAAGTCCTCGAGAACAAAAGAACCCCTAACTTTAATAACACGATAAAGGCGTAGCCTCACTAAGGTCCCCGTCTCCGCATTATGGATCACAATTCTGGGCGGTTTGGGCCGATACATCTGCAGAACAAAAAAACGCCCCTATCCTTAATGTTTTGGGCCCTCCTAGCTCAGGTCCCCTCCCACAGGATTGGGGGCACTTCTGTTGCTTATCGAGAAGTGTCAAGCACGTTCGGTCGCTCTGTGTGGTGCTCATGGGGCGAGGGGGGGGCGCTGGGTCCCTCGCCCTGGAGGGCCCCCCTCCGCCGATCCTCGAAGCCCCGCTCCACCCCAGGGGTCGGGGCAGGACCAGGAGGAAAAGAAACACACAGACACAGTTAATCGTCGATCCCCGGGAGACATGGGGAAATATGGGAAGTGGGCGGGAAGACAGAAACCCAGAAAATATGGGAAAATATGGGGAATAGTTTTTTATTTGTGTGTATTTATTTGTGTGTGTCCCAGTTCCCCTTCACAGGAGGCCGACGGCGGCGACGGCGGCGACGGCGACAGCGACGCCGGCGGCGACGAGGAGTGACTGCGGGGTCGACGCCGACGACGTCGACGGCGGCGGCGACGGCGACGTCGCGGCGCGCCCCCCCCCGGGGGGCGCTGTGAGAGTTTCGCCGAGAGGGCGCACGGAGCGCCGCGCCGCGGCACGGCCCCCCCCCCCGCGCCCCCCGCAGTCTGGCCAGCCTCCGTGCGCTCGTTCGCCCGTTCGCTCACCCCTCTGCTTTCCAGCCTGGAACATATCCCTATCCCTATGCTGGGCGTCTCCTCACCACGATGCCAATCTCAGGGATCCCCTTATTTTTTGAGGGCGAATCCCTAAGATTGTCATCGCCTTTTTGGCGTGCCAATCTTAGGGATAGGGATACGTTCGAGGCTGGTAATTTGCTAGTTCTTTCTCGCTCCTGCGGTCGCGATCGCTGCCCTGGCGCTGGTTCGTTCGTTCCCTCCCCCCCGGGGCCGCCGCCTTGGCATCGCTCGGACGTGTGCATGATTTTCCTCGGCGAGGGCCCATTTTCCTCGGCGATGGCCGTCGAGGAGCACACTGGACCATCTTGCGAAGAGTACGAGCGCGAAGCCGACAGCACAACGGGGAATGGGCGTCCGAGCGAGCGGCAAGAGATAAGCGGCCAAAGAAGCTTAAAGAACTGCGTGCCCGTCCTCCTCATCATCAGCATCATCAACATCATCATCATCATCAGCATCATCAACATCATCATCATCATCATCATCATCAGCATCAGCATCATCATCAGCATCATCATCATCATCAGCATCATCATCATCATGCATTCCGCCTCCTCCTCCTCCTCCTCCTCCTCCTCCTCCTCCTCGTCGAGGAGCATGTTGGACCAGCTTGCGAAGGATGCGCGCGCGAAGTCGAGCCGTGCACGGGGAACGGACAGCCCGAGCGATGGCGAGCCGCCCCGCAGGACGCGCCCGTCTTCGTGCCCGGCGGCGCCGCCGCCGCGGGCGCCCAGCCGCAGGCCGGGCGGGCCTCCGCGCCTGGCCTTCGGGGTCGGCAGAGAGGGGGGGTGATGACTAGGGGAGGGGGAGGAGGAGGAGGAGAGGAGGAGGAGGAGGAGGAGGAGGAGGAGGAGGAGGAGGCGGAGGAGAGGAGGAGGAGGATGGAGGAGGAGGAGAGGAGGAGGAGAGGAGGGTGGATACCATGGCGGGGGCGGCAAAGAGGGGGTTTGATGACTAGGGTTAAGTCGTGCCTGTCCCTCTACAGGGGGAATATTCAAAAAGTGTGAAAAATAGTCTGGAGACTATTTTTTTTTAGTATTTTTGGGGCATCTTATGAGTATTCTTGAGTATTTTGTATATTTGTCGTGCAAAGTCCCCCTGAAGGGGGATAGGCCCGACCTAAGACTAGGGGGGGGATCTCGTGGCGGGGGCCAGGATGTTTCCACAGACTTCACGGCGCCTCTTCTTGTTTCATCACGTCCCTGCCCCCCCCCCCCGGCCGCGCACACACGCCGCCGCCATGATCTGCCCCCCTCCCCCCTCCCCCCCTCCCCCCCCCTCTCTTGGACACCCTCCTCGTGGCCGCCCCCCCGATGGCCGTGGGGGCGGCGCCGCCCTTGCGGTCCTCTGCGGCGGGCCCTCCTCTCGGGGAAGGGCGGCTACCGACTGCGCGCATCCAGGGCAACGAGAGGGGGGGTGGTACGCATAGGGGGGGGGGGATGCATCGACCACCCCCTCCATCGCCCGTTGATCGCCGATAGGGGCCGGAGAGCCCCACCCCGCCCAGGAAGGGAGCGGATGCGC